TGCCAGCTTTATACTTATGATAACGTAGGCATAGTTTATTTCTGGTCTCCTGACACCTGTTTGTGCAGAGACCTGTCTACTACTTATTCCAGATTGTGGTTAAATTTCTTTGGATATTGAGGCTGCTTTAGAGTACACAGATATTTCCTACTATCTATCCTTAAGTACAGTTTGTGAGTGTGTCCGTGGCGTCGACTTAAATATATGGTTTTTGGTGTTTTAGATATTCAACTCCACCTGAAGAGCCAATTAAAATAAGGTATGATAACCTTCTGGTTTGTTTAAATAAATTTTTTCTATTCTTGGATCCCACGAATGCGGGCAAAAAGAGGTTCATCGTGTCATAGCTCTCAATAGCATCATAAACTGACAGTAACTCACGGAAACGGGTAAGTATTAGTGAGATGTGGTGCTAGAATAGACGCGCTATATCGGAAGGAGAAAAAATGGGAAATAAAAACAATAGTGGGAATAAGGATGAGAGAGGGTTGGACTCGCAGAACTTAGTTTGTTACTCCACAATAGTCTGAACCTACCAGATCCAAGGACACTATCACTTGGAAATTATTGAGTTCGTTGTGTTATTGCAAACTACGCCACCCGCACCATGTCAATCTATCTGTTAGGTCTAATACTTTTATTATTTTTTTTTTTTTTGGACTTTTTTTGGTATTGATATTTTAAATACATAGGCTGATATTACATTTGGCAAGAATGTGAGAACCTCAAAACAAAATATTAGTGTGTGCTGCAAAACAAATTGAAATTAAAATTCTCGTTAATTTGTAAATTACTACTATTTATTAGTGCTGTTCATATTATTTGGATATTTTAAAAACCGAAGTTGTTTATTCAATTCGATTATTCAATTAATGGGATACCAACGAAGTCTCCGGAGTTGAAAATATTTTTTATAATTAATTTCAAAGGTTTTAATTTTTTTTAAACGATAAATATTACCATTACTAATAAAGTAATAAAAATGATAATAATAAAAATAATTGGTTTATTAATGCATATATAGTATTGTCAAGTTTTACAGGCAATTTATATATTTTATGTTAAATTTCAAATGATCAGAAATATAATTTTTTTAACACAAATTATAAATATAAATATAAGTTATATATAAGTTATATATAATTTTCTTCAACAAAACCCGAACATTTAAAATCGTACTGACAACACCATATTCTATTATTCATAAAAAAATTTCCGTTTATTTGTGTGATGCACGTTCATTTGCTCTCTCACTCTCTCTTAAACTTTCGGTCACAAAGTCTTCGAATTGTTGCACTACGAATAATAGTCGCAAATCTGGATATTCGAAGACTGCGGATTCTCAAAAATTCCGATTTTTTTTCAACTTCGAATCGAATAGTTCGTAAAACCGAATGTGAATAGCACTATTACTTATGAGATTATTCGAAATACTCATCATACACGCAAGTGGTATAACCTATTGTTAAATTAGTTTGCTGGTTCAGATCTAGTCCATTAAACATTTTATTAGTCTGCGTTTGAACAGCGGTATTCCATGTCATTTGTGATCTATCATTTCGTCAAGTTCATAGGTATGTTCAACATTTGATATATTATTTTATACTTCTTAAAGTCTATGGTCTATTCATCCATATTAATGTAGATATTAAATGTTTTAATTTTTGATTTGGTTCGGCGGTTAGTAGCTGGTAACGTATATTGTAGGGCTTGAAGATACCGACCGTGAGGATAACACTATAAAATTCCTTACACAATGTTTTTTTCTTCTTTTGAAAACGGTTCTTTGCATATTATAATATGCAACGACTTTATTTTGTAAATGTTTTAGTTAACTATATTTATTATAGACTTTAATTATTAAGTCATATAATATATAAGTCAGAGTGTTGTCCTTTGTGGGTATGACAAGATTGTTACTGTTCATATAGTTAAGTATGCTGTCAAACCTACTATGAAACTGTTTAAGCTGGTACGTAGCATTGGATAATTGCGATCTTCCCGAGTTTTATCAAAAAATTGCTCAGTAATTAACATATTTGTTCTGACACATTATTTTATTTTAGCAATGCTATTTAAAATCTTTTACTATAATAAACGGGTGTTAAACGGATTTTTAACAGAGTGGACATTACTGGTGTCAAAAAATATGATTAACTAACAGTTTGTTTTCTGTTATTTATCAGTTCCATCTTATTTCATTGAATCGTAGCAGTTGTATTAGATTTCCAGTTTGATTAGTCTTGGCACATAATACGCAAATCGAGTCCGGCTGCAAAATCTATTATTCGTGAGTAAAAAGTACGATTTATATTTTTTGCAGAAATGGCGATATACAGTATTTTTTCAATGCTTGGGCATAATTAGTTTTTGAGTTTTGCAACTGATCGAGTCATTCATTTTTGATGAGTATATTCATATTTACTTAAGTATATGCTATGATTCATGAGTCATTTGCTATTTATACTAACATACTCTACTTACAAATGTGTACGCAATCTTGTGAAGCTGCTTCGTTAGCACCGACATTCGTTAATGAAAATACTTATGAATCTTATCTGTGGCAAATGTGAATGCATATAAGTAGTGTATAAGAAAAATATTTATACGAATTTATACTTAGTTTTTATGAGTGTACCCTGAGTATTAAAATTATAACTCATTTCAGTTCTCTGTTTTAGATTGTCTCAGTTTCAATTATCTTTGTTGCAGCTATAAGGAAGGCGAAGAAAATGCTTCACATTTACTTTGTCAGTGTCCATCGCATGTGCATTATATAATAAATTAAACATGTCTTGCTTTCTGGTGGATCTTAGTAAGATTCAGAATATCTTCTTGAAAAATGCTTCAGGCTCAGGATGGTGCCAAACATTTCGAGTTTTATAATGTAACACAATGGACCAATAACCTCAAATTCAGTTGCAAAACATTTTCAAAGAAACTAACACTTTATTCAGTTCCTTGTATTCGATGTGCGACTATTTGAATAAATCTCCTTATGTGGATTTGTTACTAAAATTACTCAAGAAGAAGAACAATATTTCAAAACGGCTTCAGCTACTATATTCGCCATTATGATACATATGGAGCTCCATTTTATTTACTTAGGACGTGTGCGAGTTAGGCTAAGTTGCGTTTTAAATGAGGGAAAACCTTAGTTGAGCCGATAACGTAGTGATATGTCGATACGTGTTGATAAATGGTTAAATGTGTGCAGTGCAAAAAATCCTAAATAATCTCCCATTTGGTTTAGCATCAACTTAGCCTCACTCGCACACGTCCTTTAATTTCATAATATTATTCGTATATAGGTAAATTTAAATATTGTATATCTGTTTTCAACTTTCATGTTGTGTTTACTTTAACTGTTCTAGAACATTCTCTATCTCTTACAAATTACTCTAGTATATTGCAGGTGTCTATCGAAGTAGAATGATGTAAGCATGTTTTAAGTAAAATGCAAACAACTTTATATCAATACTAATATTTCCAGAACTAAAAAACACACATAAATTATTTATTGAAGACACATCCGTCTAAAGTATTCAGAACTGTTTTAGTATCAGTAAAACTGCAACATGATCGATCATTTAAAATAAATTATTTAAATGAAATTGAACCATACATTGGTACGTTTATGACTGTGAAAAACATTGTTAATTGATGAGTCACTAAATACACATATAAAAACAGTACCCAGTTCATATACAAACTCTTCCAATGAAATCTTATATACTTATAAGAACTAACTATATACATATTTATGTATAATTTTGTAGAATCATCTTTTTTAATATTATATCTAGATATAATATACAAAATGTAGATAAAACCTGAATGTTAGCATACTAATAAATACATAATTAGCTAATACATAATTCCACAGTATTCCAGTAATTCTAGATACCTAGCAAACCACTATTAGATTATGTTTCGTAAATAGCCACAGAGTATATCAATACAATTTTTTTAATAATAAGTGTAGTAAAAAGAAATCCATTATATTTGCATGAAATTAAAGGATTATTTATCATAAATGATCCGCTTCAGAAATGAGTCGATGCTGCGATTCAGCAGCGATTCGCAGCTGAAAATTCGGTTCATGAGGTTTTAGCATTAACTCATTTGGCATTCATATATCGCGCTTCTTTCTGTATCCAGTCTTCTTCAAAGGGTTTCAAACAGTTTTTTTGCGCAATCTTTAGTTTTTGGGCAATCGAAACAATGCTTACATGATTCCAACTGTCTGTATTAAAAGTTTTTAGTACGAAATCTAATATTTCTAACGCCATCTAGCGTAACCCGATTGGACTTATACAACGCGGGATACAGATACCTAAAATCATCTATTGGAAAAATAATGAATCTCTTTTTACTACACCTCATATTAGGGAGAGGAAATTCAGAAAATGCATATATATTGTTTGGTGTCGTTTAAACCATTATAGAGATTAGAATATGTGTGGACTTCAATAACATGTTATTTCTTTTGGAAAACCGTTTTTAACTCTTTAGTTCTCAAAATCGTAGAAAAAAAATTGGCGCCACAAAAATGGTAAAATGGTGAAATGGTAAAATCCTAGTTTGTTCCAATTTTTTACAGTTCTCCTCCTGTTATTTCCGCGTATCATGTTTTCGGTGGAATGTTTGACGTCATTCTAGGTTCGCTGGAGTAACAAGTAGGTGTTATCATTAATTGTCCCTCTCAATGGATACATAAACATACAGAACAGAACGCAATTAAAATCAATAAAGTAGAAAGAGGTCCGGAATTTTGAGGACCGACCAATTATCCTTATCTATGCTCACACAAAATCAAATCAATTCGCATGTAAATTTCTGTACAGTGCAGCGATTAAGTGTCTCACCCTGTGACCGCTCCATACGAATAGAAAATCAACAACAATAATCAGAAGAGAGAGCCCAATCGCAGCTGATGGTAGCTGTCAAAATGATTTGCAGCTCAAACAAGGCAAACGGGAGAAAACGAAATTAGTTCCAATGGAAGCTTCGTTCGTTTAAGTTGTGTTTGTCGTTGCGTCTTTGGATTTTCTGCAAATAAAATAAAAGCAAGAAGAACGAAGTTCTTGTTTTAAGTTTTAAACAGTTCGCATGTAACATACATTTCTTTAATAATTGTTCAATAATTGTTTAATAATTGTGTTTAAATGTGAAATAATTACGTTTCCGATAAAGAAGAAGAACATATTGAAGTGGAGTTTAAACTCCGCTGGCGGTTTCTAACACTTTGTGAGAGACGCCGCGGAGGTGTTAACCGAAATGTCGCACCACAATAATAACAACAGGCATGCACAGTGGCACACACATGTTGTAAACGCAAATCAAAGCACCGCAAATTTGTTTACTGGTGGACATATGGTTGGAAATATGGTCGAGCCTAGTGGCTATGTAGGCGGTGGTAATTTCGGCAACAACAGCGCCGTTCCAACCTATGACAACAGCAGTGGTGTTGGTTACGGACAACAACCCATTGGAAATTACCACCTGCAAATGCAACATGGTTACAATAACTACAATAATGGCTATAACTATGTTATGCCACAGGCACCTCCGAATCCAGTAACCCAAACCAATGTAACTTCAACTCAAAATTACTATCCAAATTATACACATCAATTGAACCAGGCTATTAATCCACCTACTATTCCAACTGTTCCACATCATACTACGTCTATTTTGAATAACATACAAACACATTCAATGCCAGCCAGTGATTTGAATATGCAAAGTAAGTCCTATGAATACATAAAATATTGAAAATTCCCTACGAATTATTATACATATATATCATCTTAAACTATACATATACATATGCAAATACATATATTATATTAATAAAACTGTAGTAATAACTGTCTTATAAAATGATTTCCACTTTGATTTAATCAAAAGTAGAGTAGAGTATCGAGTATAGAGTATAGAGTATACCTCAACCAAAATGACTTGAAAACAGAAAAATCTCAAACTACTCGTACTTCATACTTCATACTTCATACTTCATATTATATTGTATATTGTACATTGTATATTGTATATATGGCAGCCACAATTGTGTGTACACACGAAAGTATGTAGGTGTATGCGTAGCATGTCAGTGCGGCTGTTATGCGTATTGATGTTCCTGCTCCCAAAACAGGCAGAGACGAAGAAGTTCTCCAATTTTGTATCTGTACCTGAAACAAGTTGTACATATAGTAGAGTTGCAAATAACCAACCAACTGAACTCATTCTATAATGTATACGTAGGCAAAAGAGATAATTATGTGGATATTTGTTTTAATTATTGTATCTATTCAATTTTATTTTGATTTATTGGTTTAATATCTTTGGAAAGAATATTTCCTCTTTTCCTCTTTTCCTCTTTTGCTCTAATAGTTGGTATATTTTATTAAATATAGAAAAGATAACTCAAGATTGCTTGAGATATGATGGATAAGCGTAGTAGACTAGACCCATTCTCATGAGTGGCAAACAGTCATAAATAATGAAATAAAATAAAATAAAATAAAATAAAATAAAATAAGTAATAAAAATTTTAATAGTTAGTTGATTGGTTGGTTGGTTGTTTGGTTGTTTGGTTGATATTATAATGATGATATAAATGATAACTAAAAATTGAAATGTTGATGGTACACATAAACTGAAAGAAATAGTTAAAACACACATTTGGCATTTGTTGGAGAGAACACCTTATAAAAGTCAATAGCTATTGAGTGCGGTTGGAAGATGTTTTCTCAGTTCACCGTACACAAAGCACAGAACATAGCAATCAGCAATCAGCACCAGCACACAGTATACAGTACACAGCACAGTGCATGCCGCACATATAAAACGATATGAAATACTTGTATACATAAAACTGTTTCGTGCGGTTGTGTTGGTAGGTACTGGCGTACGAACTGAGCTAGTTCGCCGTCGTCGTTAATGTGTATACCGACAAAAATGGGTTGTTATTTGACTTATAAAGCAAATGTGTACATAGCAGCACGAAACTTCTCCAACAAACTCTTCGTTTTAATTTTTCATCTTGACATCAACATCATACATAAATTGAACCTACTGCTGCAGAACCCAAGCGAAGGAAAGCAAAACTTGAGTATAGATTATAATTGAAGTAAGTTAGTTTTCCAATAATTTGATTGCAACTTTTAGCAAAGAAGCAAAAACTGAATACTGAATACTGAATACTGAAAACTGAAAACTGAAAGCTGAAAACTTGAATGGAAGAGCGCATAATATAGAGAAAGAGAATAATAGTTTTTATACGTGCTACATGTTTATGTGCGAAAGCTATGTCGGTATGTCCATAAGTCTGCACATCGATATATCGGTATGTGCATATCTGCTGGAAATATGTATTATGCAATTCCAATTATCCAAATAAAATTCCTCCTCCATCCCACCTGCTACTGAACATGTTCTTTAGGAGGATGTGTTTATTTGAACAGGTCCCTGTACAAATTTGCCATGACAACGTCTAACCTAGATGAAGCTTCCATATTTAATCTCTTTTAGTATGTATAAAAAATATATGAAAATATGTTTCCAGAAAAAAATTATATGCTTCAATTTTATGAGTATCTGGAATGAAGTTTTAATTGTAATGAAAAGGTGAGAGAAGTTAAAATATTTTATTTGATTTGCAAAATTTATTTAATGTGTAGAAGGGCAGATACGGGTTTGTGAGAATGTTAGACACTTTTATGTATAATAAAGTACAGTAACTATCATTGATATGTATATGAAAAATATATAAAATATACTTTATATATAAAATTATTTATGTAATATATATAATATATGGAAAATTGTATTTATATACAATATAATATATACATTGTATATGCAAGCGTTTGGGTTCATAGTGCTTTAGCTTTCGGAGTTGATACTTTGATCTGGAACACGAAAAACAAAAACAATATGGATAGAGTATGGGTAAAACTTACAATTCAATTTTTACCGAGATATAGGGTGTTAAATAATCTTCCACAGTCATATAAGTCAATATATCCTAAATATGGTTCATTCGAGTACGTAAGTTCCTATAATAGCTTCAAATTTTTTTAAAATTTGTTTCTTACATATGGAATATTTGTGTACATTGTTATGTTCAGAACTTACTAGTACAGTGTTTTAAAATAGATTTTGTTGGAAAATGTTCACCATCATTGTGAATTTTGTATAATACATTGTTTGTTCTTTGTTTCTGTTACTGACATAATATATATTATATATTATATATATATTATATATATTATATAACATTAGAAGGGCAGATATATAATATATAATAATAATATAATATATAATAATAATATAATATGTAATAATAATGTAATATATAATATATAACAATAATATATAGTAATAATATAACATATAATATATAGTAATAATATAATATATAATATATAGTAATAATATAATATATAATATATAGTAATAATATAATATATAATATATAGTATTAATATAATCTATAATATATAGTAATAATATAATGTATAATATATAGTAATAATATAATATGTAATATATAGTAATAATATAATATATAATATATAGTAATAATATAATATATAATATATAGTAATGATATAATATATAATATATAGTAATAATATAATATTTAATATATAGTAATAACATAATATATTATATATAGTAATAACATAATATATTATATATAGTAGTAACATAATATATTATATATAGTAATAACATAATATATTATATATAGTAATAACATAATAT